TACAAAGTTCACCTCACCGTGCCCAATAGTAATAATACAATTAATATTTATTGTTTAGCCAATATTTCGTGTTTAATCGAGTGCGCCGCACCAAAAAACAAAACAATATAGTTTCACCGAACCGCGGTAAATGTTTCTCGATTACAATGCGTAATCAAATGTAATATAATGCACGATAAAACATTTTTTGTGCATAAAAATTCCACGTGCCGGCCGTAAAAATCATATAAATGCGCACAGCTTAGATTAACTCGGGTAAAGTTGTTAATGTTATTGAAGGTTGAGTTCAATAGCGTAAAACGTACTCTGAATTGAAGGTATGCTATGCTATTCTGTTCAATCCCCGATGGAATTACCGGGTTATATAGGGGTCGCTGGTGTGGGTTATCCGCACATATTGTGTGTGCTACTGTGTACTCGTATCTTTTGGTTCTGCTCGCGTTGGTGAGCTCTTCGAACGCATTAAAACTAACCCCATATCCTCTCGGTGTTGTAGTAGTAGTATACTAGTGGCTGGCTTGGTTTTACGCCCGGTGGTGCCGTTTTCGTTTAGTTTTAGTTCGACGATAAAGCCCGCCGAGGCGTAGAATGTACCACCGCGCGTTTATAAATGAATTTACTATTATTATCCGCGCGCCGGCGTGAAGCGCGCACGGGGTGTTGCGCTGAGCGCGTAATTAATGCATCGTGAGCACACTCGCTACCACTAAACTTAATTAATTCACTAAAATATTGCGCGATGTTTGTCTAATGATACATACGTAACGCGGTTGACTCGGAAATTTCGGTTTCGGGGTATTATTTATGTTTTGATATTAAGATGATTGTGGACTATGGGGTGGAATGGAAGGGAAACTTGATTGAGTAATTCGCGCATGCGCAAAAGATAAATATTAAGTAAATATTAAGTTATTTCGGGAAATTTTATTTATTTTTTATTAAAATATTGATATATTTATAAGATTAACTTAATTAAGTAGTTTGCGCATGCGCAAAAGATAAGTAATGGGTTAATTTTAAGAAAAATAAAAATATTTTGCGTTTTTTAAAATTTTTCTATGAAATTATTAATAATTATTACTTTTTTATTAAATTAAATGGAAAACTTGATTGATCAATATGCGCATGCGCAAAAGAAAGTCTAATATCAACTAAATATTCAAACATTTTGAGTTTTTCTATTAAATTTTAAGTTAAATTGTAAGTTTAAGTTGATTGATCATTGTGCGCATGCGCAAAAGATCAAGTAATGTTCCTAATATAAACTAATCCTACTAATAGAAAAAGTGTCCACACGTGAAGTCAAGTTCACGTCATTAAGCTTCGTTTGTCGAACATCCTGTTTACATTCACAGTAACGTGACGTCTTACACTGTCGTCTTTCTGTTTAATATCCTTGTATGTGTGTGTGTGACGAGTTAAACTAAAAAATAATGGTTTGTTTGGCGATTATCTAAATCGCGAACTGGTGTTTACGTCTCCTCTTGCAACATGGCCGCCTGTGCAGTGAGCCTGTGCAAATACGCCCGACGCTTGTGACATGAGAAGTCGCAGATGTTCCATGTCCCATTTTATTTGTTGGTCAGCAAAACGAAAAGCATAACAACGTTTCCGAAGGCGAAATTTCGAAACACATGCGCGCTGCGCGTAAAGTTTCAACAGTTACACAATTTCTTCGTTTGATGAACGTCTTTGTGTACTACATTGCTCGGAAGTAACTTCCCGGAAGTTATCCCGTAATATTTTCCCATTTCGTCGCTTCGATAAATCTCGCCGATTTGTTTTCATTTGGGCGTTGCTCGTGAATTTATTCCAGCTTAGTTTTCCGTACTCTAGGGACTCGAGGATATGTGTAGTAGTGCATAGTTGAAAGTTTGTTTGCGCGCCGCTCGGACATCGAAAAGTTTGCGAGCGCGCGGTGCCAGTTTTCGGGGCACATCCGAAACCGATGTTGAATTTACATTCGACACGATTTCGGCGCATGCCGTGACGACCGGATAACGCTTTTAAGCTTCCAGCGACCAGCCGACGTTGGAGTGAACAACTTCCAAGTTGGAGACAGTTTTATTTTTAGTTGCAGGTACCTACGAGAGTTTTCAGTACGGGAACAGTTAAATTATGAGCGGTATTTTGATATAAAACGAAGAAATATTACGTGGGTGTCTTTTTATGGTATTTACCAAGAAGTGAAAGCTTACTTAGCATGCGCATGCCTTCAATTAGGCTATGTATGTATATTTGCATTACAATCAGACTTGGCTTTTCGCCGAAACATCAAGCTTTTCTTCTTTTCTTCTTGAAAAAAAGAAAAATGTTTTTGGACAAAAGGTGTTATGTTTTGTGTTTGCAAGCGCTTTGTGTCCATGTTTGCGCCCCTATTCACAGGATAAAGCACAAAAAACGTGTCCGAAAAGTAAAGTGCTCCGAACAGCTGATAACTCCACGGACGAGAGGAATACGGAGCCGGTGTTGTCTACCTGTCGTACGTTGGCTCGAGTCTCTGGGTCCGGTTAGTTGCCCCGAGGCGCTGCTTATATAAGAATGCGGCGTGCACCTCGAAAGCGCCAGCCAATACACCTTGATGCTTGTGATACTGATGCTCATTCCACAAGGCACTCGACCTTTTCTATTCTTTCCTCCGTCTCGCTTTTTACTTACACTCTTGGGTTGGTGCGCTGGAACGCATCACATCACTTCACATCAAACACGTATCCGCTTTATACAGGTATCCGCTTTTATTCATCAATAGACGCAGGTAGAAAGAGAAGGAGAGTTTTTTTGGGTCTTTGACAGGGTGAGGTATTTTCTCTAAGGTCGTTGGAGTTGTAATCTATGCGAGTTGAGCGGTTTGTTTGTTGTTAATAATAAGATTGTATTTATTCTCCGCCGTTTATCTGTTATCACTCGTTGGATCATTGACATAACAACCGTCTGTTACAATTATTGATCTACGGATGATGTTATTATTTGATGTTATGAATTTTTTTCTGGTGAATGAATGAGTTGGCCAACACTGTTTGCGCTTGGGATGCAGAGGAGTGTATGTGTGGGTTGTAGGTCGCAACGCGTCCGACATTGTCCGCACGCGTTTCTTTTCACATTTTACTCGGAATCACGCACACAGGCTGCTGGCGCACAACACGCGATGCAGTAACATGAAAAGAATGGTGGCTGAACTGCACGACAAACGCGCAACACTTGTTCACAAAGGCTCATTAAACAACAGCATCAATCACGATTACGCACGTAGCTGTCCGGATCGCCAGACCGCGAAATGCGAAAACGTCTGGAAAATGTTTGATATTGTTGCTTAGTGCAGCATGAGTTGGTTTGTGTAGTGTTGACAAGATGGCGGCGGTTAAGCACATGCACATTCTTTGCGTAATGGTCGTTTTAACCTAGAAATGCCCGAGATTTGTAAATATTTGCGAGAAAAGTCTGTTTTATGTTGCATGAATACTAGCAAACTGTGTCGAATAGGGTTTTCGTAAGTTGTGAGTTGTTATAAGTCGTAAAATATGAAATGAAGTTGAAATTTCCGAGAAAGGAAATTTACTGCGCAAAACTGGTATTGAATGGTTGGATGTGGATATGTTTATGTGCGTAAAATTTCTCAAATTGGATTTCAGAAAATCTGATGTTTCTGTAAACGTAAAATAGTAATGAGATTATTTGGAAACTGCTAGTGAATCATGTAAAGGATAAAATACCGGTAGCGATCTTATATTAAGTAAGGGACAAGATTTTATCGGATAGAGGATGATCTAAGGCGTCCATTAAGGATGTTGTACCTTTCTGGAGTAGATTAAACACCTGCCAAGCTCTCTCAAAGCAAAAAGATAGAAATATTTTCGGATTTTCTATTAAATTACTCAGTAGTCGAATAGAGGTCAAGAAATGACTTACTAAAAAGTCAAGGTCATTGGTTAACATCTGGAGTGAATGCAAGTGTAGCCATTTGTCATGTACGCATCAACAAATAAACTTTAAAGATGTTTAGACTTTTTGCTTTAAAGTAAAAAATTAATACTAAGGTCTTCTTTGGTCCCAAGGGTGATACACATGTTTAAAATATCTAGAAAAACGTTTTTGATGATTTTTCACGTCTCAACACCCGCCCTTTATTAAATAATAGGGCTGCAATTACCTATAATATTTCTGTGTGCTGGAAAAATGTAATAAATTACGTTTGATGTCAGGTTTTCGCGCTGTGAGAGCTTTACTTGCTGATTTCAGCTGTTGCCTTCGTGTTTAAAGCAATAAACACGCGTAAATATGGCGCAGCGGCCGGCTTCGACAGTAATTTATGCGCCTATTCAGACCCTTCGCCTCGATGGTTTTGCAGGTTTCACGTACAATGCAAATTCGCGGCTGAATCGACGACTATTAGAAAAATACGCCCATGATTAATGGCCGTGGGCGCAATTAATAAGCGCGAATGTCAGTAATGGAATCGCATTACTTCCAGCTGTGTGTATGTGTATGTGGGTGGTGAGAATTACTTCTCCGGGTGGTTTTTTCTTCCTTTACTTTCGCCGACGTCTCAAGGGTGTGTCTTAATTGGCTCTCAATTAAACCGTGCGCTAATCGACGGTCCGTCACACGAATAATAAAAATAGGTCAGCAAAAAAGCACCAGCCCACAGCCGGGGCAGACGCACGGGAATGGCGAGCAGCAGCAACTCCCCGAACTCCCTGGATACGAGTGTGGCACGAATCCTGCAGGAGTATTGATTATTCCGCGCGCTTCGGGAGGCGCGCCATTTCTCGCTACCTTCACGCGTTCGTTGTTGTCCCGGCGCCAACGCGCGAGCGCCACACCACCCCACTGATCATCTCCTCTTGCACATCAACCGCAAGTCAGTTTCGTATTCGCGTGCCTCCAGCGAAGGTAGTGACAGTTGGGTGTTATGACTTTATAGAGCTATATGTATATATAACAACCCTTCTTCATTTTAAACGCCCTCTAAAATTGAGTCGTGTTTCTTTTTTGTGTTGTAGAGCAACGCTGACAAGTCGTACTATACGGGGGAGATCAACATCGATGCCAACGATGATCTCGAGGGCAGTGGGGGTGGCACCGAGTTCACGGGGGACCTAGAGTCGAGCGGATCCGGGTACGGCACCGACGACGAGGACTCCAAGGACGTGCATCAGCCGGAACGTAAGTTTTGCTTACATAATATGATCAATGATAGATTTTAATGGTTTGTATTGGTTTTAGCACCCCGTCCGATTGATCCGATTATTACGCACAAGGACGTTGTACCCGAGGTGTTTGCTCCCAAGGAGGAGGATAAGAGCAAGGCTAACTATCCCGACCTCACGGTCATCATGAATCCCAAGTCGGAGGATAGGCCCACGTTCTTTGCTCAACCAGGAATTCTAGCAGGTGAATATTTTGCTTCTATAAATTTAAATTTAAATTTTAACTTCTTGCTAATAATTGCTAGTGTTTTTCGTTCCAGCTGTGATTGGTGGAGCAGTCGTAGGCTTGCTGTGTGCCATACTGGTAGTGATGTTCATCGTATACCGAATGCGCAAGAAAGACGAAGGATCCTACCCGCTGGACGAGCCGAAGAGATCGCCAACGACGACCTCGTATAATCGCGGCAACAGTAAAGAGTTCTTCGCCTGAAACTAGTGCGCTCCGATACTTATCCGAGGGACAATATACTAAGTAACATTACAGCAAACACAAAGTGATTGAAAGAGCGAGAATGATGGAGAAATGGTGGCGCGCGCGCCCACGTTGTCGCCGCCATTGGCGGTGCGCTAAATTCACACGCGGTACAATTGCAAACGACAGCAACAAAAAAATTTAACAATGATGCGGAATCCCTACACATCTAATAAAACCCACACACCTATATTAATTGATTACAAACAAAATGGAAAATGAAAAAGAACACGATAAGCTATGACTGAAACTAATATTACTGCTTACGTAGGTGCAGCTTTTCGATTGGCAGGTTTCTAACACAAACATTCAGAGCGAGGAAAATTCAATAACAACACACAGACGCACATTTTAAACATAATTTTATGTATGAAATATACGTAAGAATGCTACTCTTTTTTTATAAACCCTAACCTAATATTACATATAATGTAACCTAATTTATGATAATGAAACAAAGAACAATAGCGTAACGTAAATATCAACACTCTATCAATTTGATTCGGTCTAAATGAAGATTGCCAAAAACTGCCAACACCCTCACACAACACACTCACTCACAAACACACAAACTTATGAAAATTTGAACAAACAGAAAGCAGAAAAGTTTAGTGAACGAAAAGCACGAAGCGGTTTCCAACATGATTGTTAATTGTACATGTACATAGTTATATATCTTAAATTTAAAACGCAGAGTAACAAACAAAAAAATTAATGAATGTTTTCGTCCAACAAAAATGAATTAACGATACCTCTTTTGGGTATATAGTACAGTAATATTATTGTGAATTGATTAAAACGTCGAGAGATTGAAATATACGTGCAGCTACAATATATTTAGCAATATGTTTAAGATTGTGAATACAAGAAACACACACAAATAATGGATGGTGGCGAAATTTAATGCGTGGAATTTTCAATAAGTCTGTTTGTTAACACACTGCAAGCGCGAGTGTCGATGGTGCATTATTTATTAATAAAATGTTAACTGTGTAAACCACAACATTGAAACCCATCAGATTCCGATTGTTTGCTTCACGCTGGGAATTGGATCGCGTTCGCTGTGACGAAAATTTTCGTACTATATGCTCAACATACAAACAAAAAATTCAAACATTTCAAAGCACGCGACGAACGAACGCGCGTAACCTCCTATGCGACTATATGAATACATATTATATAAAGAATTTAGCGACTAACTAAGTAATTGTAATTGTAATTTAACGGCATACAAGATGGCGTCGATTGTGCGACCGATGTCTTTTTCTACGTAGATGATAAAACGTACGTGGCACAAGAACAAGCATTATTTACCAAGATGGCGTCGGTGGTAAACTGCTTGGTTTCGTTGTTTTGCCATTCAATTCTCGAAAGCCATACGGCAGGATTTGCAAGAACTCACAAACAGAAACAATTGAGGTAACAACATTCCGTAGAATGACAAAACAAAACACAGAAAATTGCGAAGAAAAACAAAACAGTTCTTATTTTGTAATGTTGAATGTGTAATTTTAGCGTGTAATTTATATATGTGAGCCTTGTCAAACATCCTGATACCGCTCTGTCTTGTCTCCTACATCTTTTTACACAAATAATTTGTATAAATTATATTCGTTATTTATCGTCTTATGTTTTAATTAGTGCGTTGATGCGGGAAATAGAACGAATTGTATACACACACCTCAATTATATACTCGAACGCAGGGGAATTCACTTCCACAAGATGGCGATGACTTCTTTGGTCCTTAGTAGATTATTTATTTCTTGTTTTTTTTTTCTCTTCGTTTGATTGAGTACGTAACGCGAACAATAAGCTAAACTATTCGGGATATTCTTATACTTAACGACTTTCAATGATATGATATTTTTTTTATACGGTACAAGTCTGTAGAATTGATTTTCGAATTATATTGTATAGTATTAACTAGTATCATATGTACAATCCGGTTGTAAATAATAAATACCCTGGACATCTAACAAACAAACAATAACATCTATACGAATTTCTGGTCTTATTTCTCAAACCTCCAACATTAACTAGAAAATGGTAAACACAGGAGGTTAATCATACAAAATGACGACGTGTCATAACGACGGATAATTAACATGTTTCACTTTGTTTCCAGCAATTAATTGACTTTAAAATTAACTAATACTTATTCTTAGTCTGTAAATTTTGCAAATAATTGTCACAGCAACTTGCTGATATGCGTGTTGTGGAGTTACGGAACAAAAAATTCAATAACCCGATGATAATTCAAATTAAAACGTAATGTTTTAAATAAACGAATGCATAATACTTGGAAGTTTGACCCGATAGTTCACTTGTTGTTATTCACACTCATCCAAGTTTAATGCATTAGAAAAAGTGCTGTTGAGTCGTGAGTTTGCATCAACTATATTTAACATTTTAAAAACTCGCCATGGTTAATAATAATAACTCTGTGAATAAAATAAACCCTGATTTGGCCCGTGAAAGATCAAAATGTACTTTTAACGTTGAAGAATTAACCACTTTTATAGATGGATCTTCTGAAAACACTAAAACCCGTCGTGAAAGAGGTATATTTATTTCTAAAATGAAATTTACAGTGGTGTGACATGTTTTTTTGTAGAAAATTTCTTCTTGAAGTCTATAACACAACCGAAAGTTCCATTGGAATATCTAAGTCACCAGGAACGTTATGATGAATTAATGCGGATGTCAGTTGAGTTGTATACAAGTGCCAGAGAATATTCAATGGAACATGGGAATCCTTATGAAGTTTATAGGCATATTCTAGGTGCGACTCTTGGACCTGCTTTAACTCCAGACGGTAATCCATTGACCTTGCACTTCATCATGTTCCTGGCTACTATTATGGGGCAGGGTAATGATGAACAAAACGTCGAATGGACTACAAAAGCTGCAGGGATACAGATTATAGGAACATATGCACAGACTGAATTGGGTCATGGTACATTCATCCGTGGTCTTGAAACAACCGCAACTTATGATGAAACCACCGAGGAGTTTGTTCTGAATAGTCCTACTCTTACCTCGTATAAATGGTGGCCGGGTGGGTTAGGTCACGCTTCTAATTATGCAATTGTCATGGCTCAACTGTACACTAAAGGAATATGTCATGGGATACATGCTTTCATTGTGCAATTGAGAGATGAAGACACACATGTTCCTCTAAAAGGCATTAAAATTGGTGAAATTGGTGCTAAGCTAGCAATGAATGCTAATAATAATGGTTACTTGGGTTTGGAGCATGTGCGGATTCCACGCAAACAAATGTTGATGAAACATAGTCAGGTCTTAAAAGATGGCACCTACCAAAAGGCACCTAATAGTAAACTCACGTATAGTACGATGATTTTAATGAGGGTTGTTATTGTTGAGAACGCAGCTGATTACCTCAAGAGAGCCGTCGTCATTGCTACGAGATACAGTGCTGTTCGGAGACAGTCGAAATTAAAGGAAACGGAACCGGAACTTCAGATTCTAGACTTTGTAACGCAACAATATAGGATATTTCCTTTGATTGCAACGGTTTTTGCTTTCCATGCGACTGCCAAGTGGGTTTGGGAGTTGTTCACTAACATTGAACGCGAAATACTTGAAGGGGAATTAACCAGGTTACCAGAGGTGCGATTTATCGCTTACCTAAATCTTTTAAAACTTAACATTCGTGTTTTATTTATAGTTACACGCGATTGCTTGTTGTTTGAAGGCGGTGAGTACAACAGATTGTGCACAGGGTGTAGAAACTTGTAGGTTTACTTGTGGGGGACATGGCTTTATGATGTCTTCGAGTCTACCCACAACTTATGGCATTGCAACAGCTGCGTGCACGTACGAGGGTGAAAATACTGTTATGTTATTGCAAACGGCGAGATATTTAATGAAGAGTTATCAAGGGTTCCTGCAAGGGAAGAAGTTGACACCTACTTTGGTTTATATAGAAAAGTTCAAGGGACGTGCGACGCCATCTTTTCAACCACGTGTAGAGTGGATTATTTCTGCATTGGAGAATGTAGCAGCACGGTATACATCAATGAAATATTATTTTTATCAAGAAATATAACTTTTTAATTTATTGTTAGACAAATTGAAACAGCGCATGGTAATATCATGCACCGTACACAAAATGGTGTTGATTATGAACACGCCTGGAATCAAACAAGTATAGAATTGGTTTCTGCTGCGGAAATGCACTGTTTAGTGAATGTTGTAACAATATTTTACGAACATGTTAAATCTTCGAAAGAAAATCTTTCTAAAGAGTTGGCTTTAGTTATGGAACAGTTATTGGAGTTGTACGCTGTTTCTACTGCGTTAAAGTACAGTGGGAAACTTTTACAGGTAAATATATAGTTAATACAATCAATTTTAAATGTTAAAATGTTTTTAGTTTACTAATACTACTGGTCATGATGTAAGCGAATTGCAAAGATGGTTGGAGGACATTTTGGCGGCCATTAGGCCAAATGCTGTTGGAATTGTTGATGGGTTTGATCTTTCCGATGATATTTTAAGGTCCACACTGGGGGCTTATGATGGGAATGTCTACGAAAGACTTTATGAAGAAGCGCAGAAAAGTCCAATGAATCAGGATCAAGAAAACAAAACATTTCATAAATATTTGAAACCTTTTCTTAAATCTAACATGTAAATATTAGTTATAATAAATTGGTGTAAGTAAAATAAATTCTAATTCATATCTTCGCATACTTGTTACAATATTATTACAATATTATTAGTTTAACAGGAATATATTTGTTTAATATAGTTGTAATAAGATGGCGCTACATATACTATTATTTAAATAAAGAATTATCAAATGCGTGCACTGCGCAAGATCGTAAACCAATTGGAAAGTCGCGAGATACTCAGCAGAATCAAACGCACAGTGCTCGATGCTATTCCAGCAGTAACATAAACATTCAGTTGTGAATCAACGCTGCAGGTTGCAGTATCGTGAGTTGTGCGAGTGCGCGTACCTAGTCCTGCGATCAGCTGTTCTTCACGCCCACACAATGGCCTACAATAACAACAAAAACAAAGGGACTAAAATAAATCCCGATTTAGTTAGGGAGCGAGAAAAGTGCACGTTTCGCATCGAAGAGTTGACGAATTATATTGACGGCTCGCAGGAGGCCACTGCCGAACGGCATGCTCGAGGTAAACATCTCTTTCAAGTATTTCGCAACAAATTTGTTTATGTATTCAATAAGAAATAATATAGATTAAACTTAAAAACATGTTTATTCTGATTGGAAGACATTGATAATTTCTGTTGAAAATGTTCATTGCAACATAATCGTTGGAATAATAATAAACATTTTAATAACGCATTTAAAATTTCTTAACAATTAGAAAACTCGTTTCGCAAGTTGTAAGTTGAATTGGTTGTTAACGAACTTGAGGACGAGTAATTGTTCATTAATTATTGCCGTAAATTATTAATAACTGCATTTCATGCTGTTTAATGAATATTTCCACTTTTCTACTGTTTTAATAGTTGTTATTACAGGAAATTTGCGTAGAATAGGTCAATGTTATAACTATACACACCCCCAAAGATGTAATAACGTGATAATTACACGCAATCCTAGATAAAATTATTGTTTTAACATTATTGAACTTTAAACTATATCGCCACATTCGAGTTATATATAATCTCTCTAGGATTAAGCGTTTTTTGCTATGTCATATTCTTATCAATGTTTTCTCAATTTAAGTGTACTCTCACAGTTGACTAAAAATATCAACATTTGCTGGGTCACCTAGTACTTATAATCAATTTTATGTTTGTTTATGTCGCGTATTTTTGTTATATTTATCTGGCAAAATAATGTTTAGTAATAATGTTTTTAAATTATATTTTATCTTATTTTATGCAAATGTAAGTTTTGTAGTATTTTCCGGATGAAAGTGAAAGCCATAATGCAATTGCTAACTTTCTACTTGTGTCAATTTGGCTACCTGTATAAGTAATGTTGTGAATGCTTTTCGCAGAGCAATACTTCTTGGACGACCCGTCATTGCGGCCTTCCGATGTGCCGTCCGAATACCTCAGTCACAAAGAAAAGTATGAGGAGGCAATTCGCATGTCCGTCGCGCTTTTTCGACGAGTCAAGCAGCTACAGAATGAAAAAGGAGGAGCAGTTGATAATTACCGGTAAGTTGATGTTTAGGATTCTAGTCCCAATTAAATTAATAATATACTTTTTATATAGGCAAGTATTGGGTGGATCCTTAGGACCTGCTCTTCTTGCTGATGGAAATCCACTTGGTCTTCATTATGTCATGTTCCTGCCCACAATTTTGGGTCAGGGTACTCTGGAACAAACAGCTGAATGGGTTCAAAAGGCATGGAACTTGAACATCATTGGCACCTACGCACAGGTACGCTATTTTATTTATTTAAAAGTAAAAAAAAAACATCAAATTTTAGAATTTGAAATTTTAGACGGAATTAGGACATGGTACATTCATTCGTGGTCTAGAAACCACAGCAACCTACGATGAAAAGACTGAAGAATTTGTTCTAAACAGTCCTACTCTTACCTCATACAAATGGTGGCCTGGTGGTTTGGGTCACGCATCCAATTATGCTGTTGTTATTGCTCAATTATACACTCAGGGTAAATGCCATGGTATTCATCCTTTTATTGTACAATTGAGAGATGAAGAAACAAACATGCCTTTAAGAGGTATTAAAATTGGTGAGATTGGTTGTAAATTAGGAATGAACGTTACCAACAATGGTTATCTGGGTTTCGATAACGTTAGAATTCCCAGGAATCATATGTTAATGAAAAATAACAAGGTTTTGAAAGATGGGACTTATATTAAGGCACCTAGCAGTAAATTGACTTATGGTACAATGATTTTTGTAAGGGTTGTGATTGTTGAAGATGCAGCGCAGTACTTGAAGAAGGCTGTAATTATTGCTACACGATACAGTGCGGTCAGGAGACAGTCGCAGATCAAAGAGGGTAACTATTAAGTGCTACTACTTTTACTTTAAGTAACTATATTAATATATGGTATTAATTGTCTTTCAGGGAACCGGAAACGCAAATTATTGACTTCGTCACCCAACAATACAAACTCTTCCCATTGATAGCAACTTTCTTTGCTTATTACCACTCTGCGAAGTGGTTATGGAATCTTTACAATCAGATTACCGGTGAGATGGAAGGTGGTCAACTGGATAGATTACCCGAGGTACATTTTACTTAATTTTTGAGTTGTACAATCAAATAATTAATATTTCTTATAGTTGCACGCGATTGCTTGCTGTTTGAAAGCTGTCTCCACTGCTGATTGTTCTGCTGGAGTGGAAACTTGTAGATTGGCATGTGGAGGACATGGTTACATGATTTCTTCTAATCTTCCCACCACGTATGGCCTTGTTACTGCTGCTTGTACCTATGAGGGCGAGAACACTGTTCTTCTGCTACAGACAGCTAGGTATTTGGTCAAGAGTTACCAGGCTTTCTTAGACGGTCAGAAACTAACACCGACAGTGTCTTATATCGAGAAATATAAGAATGTTTCAACTCCACCGTTCCAAAAACGTGTCGAATGGATCATTCAAGCGTTGGAAAAAGTTGCCGCTTGGTAAATTTTACAACTGTATCTTTTTTACATTTGTATCTAACAGCAAGATGTTTCATAGTAAAATTGAGAAGGCGTACAACAACATACAAAGACGAGTAAAGAAAGGTTTGGCCTATGAACACGCTTGGAATGAAACGAGTGTTGAGTTGGCGTCTGCTGCTGACATGCACTGTCGCGCTAATGTCCTTGCTATCTTCCAAGACAAGGTGCAGTCTTCCAAACCCACATTGTCCAAGGAACTTGGTGTGGTATTGCAACAACTATTAGAGCTGTATTCTGTTTTCATTGCGATCCGATTCAGCGGAGATTTGTTACGGGTAAATAAGCCTAGTCACTTTGAAAGTCTGCCATAATTTAATTTGTTTTGTACTTGTTGTTTAATTATAGTATACCAATACTATTGGGCATGATATCAGTGAACTGCAGGCGTGGTTGGAGGATCTTCTAGCTTGTATTCGCCCGAATGCTTTGGGGATTATAGATGGTTTTGATATGCGAGATGAAGTTGTGCGTTCTACGTTGGGTTCATACGATGGGAATGTTTACGAGAGGCTTTTTATTGAGGCGCAGAAGAGTCCACTGAATCAAGAGCCTGTGAATCAGTCATTCCACAAACATCTGAAGCCGTTCTTACAGTCTAACATGTGATTTATATTGTATATTGGTGTACTAATTTACAGGGAAGTAAAATGAGATTATTATTTAGGCCATTTTAATACATATTGTATAAACTTGTTGTATTTTTAATTTGTAAATACACATGTGCTTTTTAGAAATGTGTTTTTCTGCGAAGAAATGAGTTATTAGTACCTTACCGACCCAATAATCCTTAGTACCTTAAAATGCATATTAAAATTTTAATAATAAAAATTTATAAAAATGCCCTTTGTGTGTTTCTTGGTCCGCCAACTTTTGTAATTTTCGACCCGAAATTGAACGCGAACAATTCAAATTTTGTCGAAATACACGCGAAAATTTTCAGCTTCCTCAATGTTCTGGGATCCGGATAACACCAACCAATTTTACCATTGGTTTTCGAATCGAAATTAAACGCGAGCACACACACACACAACCTGCATATGTGAACGAGCGCATGTCTGTGTATGTGCCAGTTCAATTTCGGGTCGAAAACTAATGGTAAAATTGGTTGGTGTTATCCGGATCCCAGAAAGTTGAGGAGGCTGAAAATTTTTGCGGGTATTTCGAGAAAATTTGAATTGTTCGCGTTCAATTTCGGGTCGAAAATATCACAACTTAGTGAAAAGAAACACAAAAAGAGCATTTTTGTGGGCTTTGCAATGTTGTAGGGCAACCATTCTCTCACCAAATTAAAGGTATTAAAGTTCTGCACAACATACGTATATAATTTGTGGGATTAACCCTCCGAAAACCCATATATATGCCCTTTTTGTTATTAAAATTGGAAAATTTTTGTGGTATTTGCATTTTCTGGGCAAACGGGATGTCGTAGAGCAACCATTCTCTCACCAAATTAAAGATATTAAAATTCTGCATAATATACGTGTATAATTTGTGGGATTAACCTTCGGGAAACACACAAAAATACCCTTTTTGTGTTTTCTGGTGCGCTTACTTTTGTATTTTTCGACCCGAAATTGAACGCGAACAATTCAAATTATGTCCAAATACCCGCGAAAACTTTCAGCCTCCTCAACTTTCTGAGATCCGAATAACACCAACCAATTTTACCATTAGTATTCGACCAGAAATTGAACTGGCACATACACAGACATGCGCTCGTTCACATATGCAGGGTGTGTGTGTGTGTGCTCTCGTTTAATTTCGGGTCGAAAACTAATGGAAAAATTGGTTGGTGTTATTCGGATCGCAGAAAGTTGAGGAGGCTGAAAATTTTCGCGGGTATTTCGACAAAATTAGATTCCCGAAGGTTAATCCCACAAATAATATACGTATTTTATGCAGAATTTTATTACCTTTACTTTGGTGAGAAAATAGTTGCTCTGCAACATCGCGTTCGCCCAGAAAATACCAAAACCCACAAAAATTATCCAATTTTGAAAACAAAAAGGGCATTTATATGGGTTTCCCGATGGTTAATTCCACAAATTATATACGTATATAATGCAGAATTTTAATATCTTTAATTTGGTGAGAGACTCGTTGCTCTACGACATCCCATTCGCCCAGAAAATGCAAAAAACCCCAAAAATTTTCCAATTTTATAAACAAAAAGGGCATATATATGGGTTTTCCGATGGTTACTCCCACATATTATACACGTATATTGTGTAGAATTTCAATATCTTTAATTTGGTGAGAGAATCGTTGCTCTACGACATCCCGTTCGCCCGGAAAATGCAAAAAAACCCAAAAATTTTCCAATTTTAAAAATAAAAAGGGCATTTATATAAGTTTCCCGAAGGTAAATCCCACAAGTTATATACGTATAATATGCAGAATTTTAATACCTTTAATTTGGTGAGAGAATGGTTGCTCTACGACATCCCGTTCGCTCAGAAAATGCCAAAAACCACAAAAATTTTCCAATTTTAAAAACAAAAAGGGCATTTATATGGGTTTCCCGAGGGTTCATCCCACAAATTATATACGTATATTATGCAGAATTTCAATATCTTTAATTTGGTGAGAGACTGGTTTCACTACGTCATCCCGTTCGCCCGAAAAATGCAAAAAAACACAAAAATTTTCCAATTTTAAAAACAAAAAGGGCATTTATATGGGTTTCCCGAAGGTTAATCCCACAAGTTATATACGTATATTATGCAGAATTTTAATACCTTTAATCTGGTGAGAGAATGGTTGTCCTACAACATCGCGAAGCCCACAAAAATGCTCTTTTTGTGTTTCTTTCCCCTAATTTTTGATATTTTCGACCCGAAATTGAACGCGAACAATTCAAATTTGGTCGAAATACCCGCAAAAATTTTCAGCCTCCTCAACTTTCTGGGATCCGGATAACACCAACCAATTTTACCATTAGTTTTCGACCCGAAATTGAACTGGCACATACGCAGACATGCGCTCGTTCGCATGTGCAGAGTGTGTGTGTGTGTGTGTGTGTGTGCTCGCGTTTAATTTCGGGTCGAAAACTAATGGAAAAATTGGTTGGTGTTATTCGGATCGCAGAAAGTTGAGGAGGCTGAAAATTTTCGCGGGTATTTCGACAAAATTAGATTTGTTCGCGTTCAATTTCGAGTCGAAAATTACAAAAGTTGGCGGACCCAGAAACACAAAAAGGACATTTATATGGGTTTCCCGAAGGTTAATCTCACAAATTATATACGTATATTATGCAGAATTTTAATACCTTTAATTTGGTAAGAGAATAGTTGCTCTACGATATCCCGTTCGCCCAGAAAATGCAAAAAACCCCAAAAATTTTCCAATTTTAAAAACAAAACGGGCATTTATATAAGTTTCCCGAAGGTAAACCCCACAAGTTATATACGTATAATATGCAGAATTTTAATACCTTTAATTTGGTAAGAGAATAGTTGCTCTACGATATCCCGTTCGCCCAGAAAATGCAAAAAACCACAAAAAATTTCCAATTTTAAAAACATAAAGGGCATTTATATGCGTTTTCCGAAGGTTAATCCCACAACTTATATACGTATATTATGCAGAATTTTAATGCCTTTAATCTGGTGAGAGAATGGTTGCTCCACGACGTCCCGTTCGCCCAGAAAATGCAATAAAACCACCAAAAATTTCCAATTTTAAAAACAAAAAGGGAATATATATATGGGTTTCCCGAATGTTAATCCCACAAATTATATACGTGTATTATGCAGAATTTTAATACCTTTAATATGGTGAGAGAATGGTTGCTCTACGACATCCCGTTCGCTCAGAAAATGCCAAAAACCACAAAAATTTTCCAATTTTAAAAACAAAAAGGGCATTTATATGGGTTTCCCGAGGGTTTATCCCACAAATTATATACGTATATTATGTAGAATTTTAATATCTTTAATTTGGTGAGAGACTGGTTTCTCTACGACATCCCGTTCGCCCCGAAAATGCAAAAAACCACAAAAATTTTAAAATTTTAAAAACAAAAAGGGCATTTTTATGGATTTTCCGAGGGTTCATCCCACAAATTATATACGTATATTATGCAGAATTTCAATATCTTTAATTTGGTGAGAGAGTGGTTTCTCTACGTCATCCCGTTCGCCCGGAAAATGCAAAAAACCACAAAAATTTCCAATTTTATAAACAAAAAGGGCATTTATATGCGTTTCCCGAATGTTAATCCCACAAATTATATACGTATATTATGCAGAATTTTAATACCTTTAATATGGTGAGAGAATGGTTGCTCTACGACATCCCGTTCGCTCAGAAAATGCAAAAAACCACAAAAATTTTCCAATTTTAAAAACAAAAAGGGCATTTATATGGGTTTCCCGAAGGTTAATCCCACAAATTATATACGTATATTATGCAGAATTTTAATACCTTTAATTTGGTGAGAGAATGGTTGTCCTACAACATCGCAAAGCCCACAAAATGCTCTTTTTGTGTTTCTTTCCCCTAATTTTTGATATTTTCGACCCGAAATTGAACGCGAACAATTCAAATTTTGTCGAAATACCCGCAAAAATTTTCAGCCTCCTCAACTTTCTGGGATCCGGATAACACCAACCAATTTTACCATTAGTTTTCGACCCGAAATTGAACTGGCACACACACACACATGCGCTCGTTCGCATATGCAGAGTGTGTGTGTGTGTGCTCGCGTTTAATTTCGGGTCGAAAACTAATGGAAAAATTGGTTGGTGTTATTCGGATCGCAGAAAGTTGAGGAGGCTGAAAATTTTCGCGGGTATTTCGACAAAATTTGATTTGTTCGCGTTCAATTTCGAGTCGAAAATTACAAAAGTTGGCGGACCCAAAAACACCAAAAAGACATTTTTATGGGTTTCCCGACAGTTAAGCCCCCAAATTATATACATATATTATACAAAATTTTAATACCTTTAATCTGGTGAGAGAATGGTTGCTCTGCGACATCCTGTTCGCCCAGAAAATACCAAAAACCACTAAAATTATCCAATTTTTAAAACAAAAAGGGCATTTATATGGATTTCGTGTGACTTTTGCATTTTAATCCCTACGCGACAGGCATCAAAAGAATCTGCAAGAAATAGTAAGATGAATAAATGTATACCACGGGCTACTAGAAGGATATAAATCATACAGATAAAGCAATTAATTAATTTTACATAATTATTTTATTTCGGTTAATTTTACAAGTTTTGCAACTATTGCAAACGCAATACGTTTACATACAGACTCGTCGCAACGATTCTCCGCAACTGAATATACCAGCAAGTAAAAAATATAAATTTCTATGTCATGTACATGTATAAATATAGCAGCACTTTAAATATGCAAAATATGCACACGCATCAATCACGCATATCAATAATCATATACAAATTGAAATGTTTGGCGTGTGTTTTCACTTGTTCACAATTCATTATATCACCAAATTCGAAATAATCGCTAATGCAATTACAAATCAATCAACAGAAATATAAAAAATACGATCCTATCATATTTTGACATTTACTTTCACATATCGTTTGATTTACATGTCGTTGCGCTTGCGTGGCGGGCGTAATCCTCACCACATAAATAAATATACAATATTAATTAACACGAATCAATTAATTAGATATTTTTACTGTACAAATAATATTGCAGTCGTTCATTTGGTATAAAAAAAATTAAGAACTATCAAGACTTATCGATTAGTAGTTGT